AAAAAAAAAAAAAGAGGGACGCCTGGGTGGCTCAGACTCTTGATCTCAGCTCAGGTCATGATCCCACGGTTCTCATGGGTTCAAGCCCTGCATCGGGTTCTGCACTCACAGTGTGAAGCCTGCTTTGGATCGTCTGTCCCCCTCTCTCTGCCCCTCCACCCCTCACTCTCAAAAATAAATAAATGTTAAAAAAAATTTTTTTTTCAAAGAACCCTGTTATTTTTCCTTTCATTCGATTTCAATAACACAATATGGATGGCAGAAACTGGCTGCTGACTACCCTCAAATCCTCTCCCCTCTCAGAGTACCGGAATCTTTCTTCAGAGTTCAGAGCTGGGTAAAGACTACATTTCCCAGCCTCCCGTGTAGCTGGGGAAAACCATGTGACCACATCCTGGCCAAAGGGGTTTGGGAAGCAGTGATACGGTCGCTTAAACAGAAGGGACAGGTCCTCCTGTTCCCACCCCCTTGTCACACATCATGGGGCAGGTACCACGTTGAACCGCAATGGCCAGCTAGGCCCACCCTGCGGAACCCCCTGCAACCCACCTATGCTCAGAAATCAACTTTGGTCACACTGAAACCACTTGTGATTATGTTTGGGCACATTAACCTCTGCCCTACTTGGTACACTCCCAGCAATCATTTTAAGAAGCATACGGGGAGCATCTTCCATGTGCCAAGTCCTGCGAACCAGACAGACATGGTCCCTGCTGCTTGTCCAACTCACAGTCTTGGGTGGGGGGAGGCAGACAATAAATAGAAGACTTGGAGATACTCCCATGTGCTCTGAAGGAAACTGAACAGGGTACTGTTTCGAGAGAAGCCCCAAAGACAAGAAAAAGCCAAGAGGAGAAAGGCATCCTGAGCCCAGAACATAGTAAGTGCAAAGGCCCTGGGGCAGGACGTGTCTGGAAAATGTGAGGAACAGCAAGAAGGCTGCTCCTGGCTGATGCTTGCTCTGCCCTCGTGCTCTCATGAGCCACTCTGTGGCTTCACAAGGTAGCCTCGGTGGCCCTCACTTTCCTGCAGCCCCAAAACACAAAACACAAACCTGCCTTAGCTCCGAGTCCATGGTGGGGACAGAGACTGGGTCTTCGTTGTGCGCTGAGCCTGACACAGTCAGTGCTCGAGAAAATGTCAAATAAAGCAATGAAACCACTGGGGCCCATCACTGATGCCTCCCTGGCAGCTGGGACGATGCTGCCTCTCGGGGCTGCTGTTCTCTGCAGCCCTTTCTGAGGGACGTTTCCTCACAATCTGGGTCTGCCCCTGGGAAGACAGCCCCTGGGGAGGCCCCAGTGGAACAAGGTCGAGAACTTTGAGACCAGCCCAGAGGTCGCGGGAGATTGCACAAGGGCTGACTTGGGTTGGGCCAGCATTTCAAAAATCTGGGACGTTCCCTATCAAATCCAGAAGTCCCATTTCTCCTTAACAGTCATGTGTCCTGGCCACAGCTAATGGGTACATGCCCTCTAGGCCATCAGAAGCCTCACTCTCCCCAGGTGGTGAGGGCGTGGGCTTTGGAGAAGGTGGCTTGGGTTCAAATCCCCATTCTGCCCCTTCTCAGTTATGTGGTATCAGCTTGTGACCAGTCATTCTCTGCCTCAGTTTCCCCATCAGCAAAATGGAGGCAACAATAATACTGACTTCACGGGGGTAGTTGGGAGAATTTAATATGATCCATCTAACGTGTTTAAGATACACAGTAAGCACTCAAGTGCCCAATATTGCTACTGTTATCATTATTATTATTGCCTGCCAAGCTCCTAACACCGGAATTAGTGATCCAGGACCTGGACAATTATCAAGGTCTGAGAACATCGATGTCCATTTATTGAGCACTTACTGTATTCCAGCACTGTAGTAAGGGCTAATGGATCTGTTCTGTCGCCTTCCCACCCTCATCAACTTCCCATTCTTACCTTTGCTCAGTCTACTCCAGCCATACTTACCTCCTAACTGCTCCCCTAACAGCCCAGGCATGGTCCTACCTCAGGGCCTTTGCACTCGCCGTTTCCACTGCCTGGAAGGCCCTTCCCCCAGACAGGGCATAAAGTGCTCCTTCCCCTCCCTCAAGTCTCCTCGAAACATCAGCTCCACAAACACATAGATTTGGGTCTGTTTTGTTCCACTGCTGTGTCTCTAGCATCCAGCGCAGGGCTGTGCCCACAGTTAGTGCTCAAGAAATAGATGCTGAGTGAACAGACTGATCTGGCAAAGGGGGTTCGTGGTTCCCCGCCTGGCCCGCTCTGCGGCCTCTCGCAGACCCCTCCCACTGAGGCCCTTTCCCTCATACCTTGTATACCCGGGTGATGACTTCCAGGCCCACAGAGCCCACAAGGGCCGCGATGTCGTCCAGGAAGCGCCCAGGGAAGCGCAGCTTGCGGGGCGTGTCCAGCCGCTGGCCCAGAAGCAGGTGCAGGGCCATGCTTTTCACCTGGGGGCGGGGCGAGAGCCGAGGGGGTCTTGAGGGACTGGACTGGGGGCGGGGCTCACTAGAAGGGGGCAGGGCTCGAGGGGCTGGGAGTGGTACTTTTGCAACAAGGCGGATGGGCTAGAGGTGGCCCTAAGGGGTCCTGGGTGGGGATTGAGCTGGCAGTGGGCGGGGCCTGAGTGCCTCCAAGGCAGGGTTGGGGAGGCTGAGGGAGCCCGGGAGGGGCTGGAGTTGGTCTCCTGGGGCTAAGTATGGGGGTGGGACAGAAGGTAAGACTTGTGGAGCGGGACTTGAGGGAGCCCACCTGGGTGGGGTTTGAGGGCCCCCGTGACAGCTCTAGAAGAGCTTGGGGGCAGAGGCTCAAGTCTGATCACAAGGGATTCCCTCTCTCTCCAGGGAGATCTCTTGAGAGCGAGGGGTCTCCTCCCTTGTTAGGGGTCTCTCAGCGGTCTCTACAATCTCACAGGGAAGGTGGGGAGGGGTCTTTTCTCTGCCAAGGGGGCTTCCGGGGGCCTCCCTCTGGGGAGAAATCCCCCTCCGGTGTCTCCTGTCTCACTGCGTGGGGGGTCTCTTGGGACCATTTCCCAGGGGTCTTGGGGGCAATCTCAGAGGGCTCCTTCCCGAGGAGAGGGCCTCCCCTGGTGTCCCTCAGGCGGGAAGGAGGGTGTCTCACCATGAGCTGGAAGAAGAACCAGGCATGTTGCAGGACCGTCTCTCGCACGGCGCTGCCGCTGACCACCCACTGCAGGGCCAGCTCCTCGTGAAGCAGCTGGGGGCAGGGGCAAGGGTCACAGGGAGCTGAGGGGCCCGCCGCATTCCCTCCTCGGGGTGGGGGGGG